TGTAATTTAATGTTTAAAACAGACCAAACTAAAACAAGAACAAAAACCAAATGTGAGTAATAATGAAAAGAAGTGACCAAGTGGAGGACTTCATGAAGATATGTTTGTTCGCACAAGCAAACAGTATTGCTTTGAGCAGAATCATTTTCACAAGTAAGGCATGTTCAATGGATACAAAACCATAAAGAGGCAATGTTTATGAACAGGAAGCTTATTTATATACAGAAATATATATAAAATGTATTTGTACTTCATTAGACAAAGAAGTAGAATTGTGTGCAAATAATACTGGATGCATTCATAAAGATTCATTAAAATTGTACAGACAGTTAAGATCCTTTTGAAAATGTGGCTTAGATAATGTACTTTAAAGGGCATGCCATTTAGAGGAAGGAGCCACCCTTCTCTAGCTCTCCAAGTCAGCAAAAGAACTTCCTCATGTAAAGTCCAGCTTTGCTCGCTATATACAACAGATTACTAGTTTAAGAGTCTGCTGTGAAAGGCTTTGCTCAGAACATTGCTCCCTGAAAACACTTAAGGCACATCCATAGGAGGATTTTTAACTTTTCATGTTGCATACCTATATGATACACACTATATACTTTTGTGATTTTAAAGCAGGAGACCTAGTGCCTCTACTTTGTATTGCATTTTTCAGTTTTGCATACTATGGCTTATATTTGGCTTCTTAAATTTTTCACAGGTCAAGTAACTACTGCAAAGATCTCATGACTTGCCTTTTATTGCTGTACATTTTGAAGTATGAGTTTCCCTAGCAGGTCTTTCCTTTATGAACTCCCTATTGCCGATAGGGACAGAAACGTATTGCTGTGAGAACACAAGCCTGAAAGGGGAAACATCTTACAACAAAACATCACCAGCTAAAGTCACCCCAAGCAGCGTTATCATAACGCTGATAGGGGTAAAGACTGTTCCAAGTCCATCTGTCAAAAAAGAGCTGGAAGTTCAGAAATATGTTCTTACAGACCTTTAGAACAAACAGAAAACCAGCATTTGCATTAAAAGCACATTAAAACCATATAAAGTACTGTAAATAATATTCAAAAAAATTCAAGACACAGCAGTTACAGATTATCAAAGAGAGAGACAGTTGAAAAGCAAAGTTTTTTTTTTTTTCTTGGCAATAGCAGCAATTTTGGCACAAAGGCAAACGCAGAAGATAGAGAAAAACAGGCAGACAGGGTACAGAAAAAGGTTACAGAATCTACAACAAGCATGCCACAGTTCAGCAGGACCAAAAGCACAGTAACAGCTTTCCCCGACTTCCCTTCCCCGCAGAGAATGGCATCCATCACTCAAAAGCTTGTTGCCACTTCCCAAACTGAAGGGTTGATCTATATTGCAAGAGCCAGTTTGATCATAACCTCCCTGGGAACATTCCTCGTTACCACCACATAAGATGCCACGCAGGCTCTCTGGCAAACCAGGCAAAACCTTCACAAAAAGGGTGATTGTAGTTGACTGCTAAAAAAAACTCAACTTGCTCATCATAGATTGTGCCCTGCAACTATCATCATTACAACACGAGGGACACACAAAATACATTAAATGCCAGCTAAGACTGCAGCCACCCAGTGAGGGACTGACATCTTTAGGAAAGTTAATACATGCCAATCAGGTTAGTTACACATCACAAGTGCTTGTTGTGACAAATCTTACCTGAGCTGACCAAACCTTCTGAATGTTATTTTGTGGCTGAATATATTTTAAGCATTAAGCTAGCTAAAAAAGAAGAGGCCAGATTTGGTGGCACAGCAAAAGAGGCAGTGAGTGTAGGGGGACAACCCATGCAATTTACATTCATTTCGGATTCCATGGCAACTAAAAAGCAGGCCTTGCACAAGTCACCATAAAGCTCACTGAACAAGCACTTTGCTAACTCAGGGCTGAATTTAACTCTGAAGTATAAAATTTAAGAACAGCGGGGTTTTTATCTTGTATATTCTTTAATTGATGTTTCTGCTGTACACCTTCCTTTTGCCTTCTAAGCTACCTTTACAACTCCATCAAATATCAAACCTGCGCATTTTACACTTTTTTTTTTACTTAATCATTTTAGAGGCAACTTACACTCCACATCAAGATCTACCTCACTAGTGAGGATCAGCTCGGACCTCAGGGTCTGAAATTGCTCTTGCCAAATTTCATTTGGTGGCACATGCCTTAAGGGAGGTCAAACATTTTCAGATCTATGACCTGTATTAGATGAGTCTACCAGATGGGTGAAGTAGAAGCCTTGGAAACAGAGCTCTGCCTCTATCTCCATTTAAGACAGGTTTTTACTCAAGGTATTTTGTCTGCTTTACAGCGAAAGCAGAATGTGTATAGTCTCTTAAACAGACAACTTAATAAATTGCAAGAAAGCATATACACAGATAGTTCTAAGTCAGGAGTTATACTGAGATGTAATCTTATAGACTTTTTTTATTATTCAGGAATAATATCCTATTATTCCACCGTATTATCAAGCTTGGTAATTCAAAAGGGTTTGGGGTTTTTTTTTTCAAACCATATGTAACTGTAAACACATCACAGGTTTCCTGACCTACCTACCCAGCAAGAACAGGAGCTAAAGGTAGGTACCTACCTTTAGGACATGACTGTTATGCTAACAGAGAACTGACCTGCCTTTAATGACGCTGTGGCTTGCTTTTAAAGTACATTGCATTTAGCCTCCTCCCGCTTCTTAACCATTGTTAAGCCAGTAGTTTTAAGATACACTTAGAACCTAGTTCACAAAGAAAACAAAATCTCAGCCACTAATGGCATTCTTCTACCAGAAAGGGGGACAAGAGCAGAGGCACTACTCACTCTTCTACCATTAAATGTACTTCTGTCATGCACACACAAGAATGCACCGCAATACACTGCCTTAAAGATGACCTAGCTTGAGCCAGCTAAGCTGAGTATGTTCTAATGTACTTTGGCCACTGCAAGAGGCAAAGATTTGAAAGGTCCAAAAGCTTTAAAAATGATGCTACAGTTATACACTGCTTTAGAAAAGCAGAAAGCAAACAGAAGGAGCCCTAGATTTCAAGTTTTGCCATTTGATAAATGGTGTCTGTTCTGTTTTACTCCTCTGGAAATACTACAGTTCTGCTACAGGATTGTGCCACCACTACATAAGGATAGATGGAAACATCTGATTTATAGCTGATTTATATCTGATTTATAGAAGTTTATAGCAAACCATGGCCTATTGCTTGCTCTACTTAGTGTTCACTTAGGTGCTATTTACTGAATGCTCATTCATAAAAGTGAGTAATTAAATTCGATCAGTTGGAATGACTAAATCAGAGGAAGGAGACTTTCTGCCAGCAATTGCTTTGATAAACTAATTGATATATATAGCTAAATCCTCCTTCTTCCAATTCTCATCACCAATAGCTTCACTCCATAAACCACCTTATTCTCACATCAGACGCGCTCCAAGAATTTTTTTTCCATTTATCTTAAAGATTATGCTCCAGCTTAAAAAAAAAAAAAATCTTTTAGAGCAATTTTAAGTCTATCCAGTTGCACAAAAAAATGCTGTAGTTATCCCATCCATCCACAGCATTTTGCAAATGTTATTCTTCCATACCTTTTCCCTTTCCTCCATTTTGCCATATGGAAATTTCTTTTAGAGAAAGCAATTTTAAGTCTATCCAGTTGCACAAAAAAATGCTGTAGTTATCCCATCTGTCCACAGCATTTTGCAAATGTTATTCTTCCATACCTTTTCCCTTTCCTCCATTTTGCCATATGGAAATTCCACACAAACAAAAGAGGAAACCGTGAAAGAAACTACACTTCAAGAATCAACTGCACACACTAAGAATAAATTTTTGTTGGACTGCATTCAGTTACAATCTTAGAAACACTTGTAAGAATAATACATAAAGTCAAACAAAAGCATGATTTTTATTTGCCTGCATGTGTTAAGGTCTTTTCACAACTAGCACTGCAAAAACTTTCTTTTCTCAAAGTGTTGCTCTAAGTATGTTGCCTCTCTAAAAGCAGCTGATTTAGTTTATCCATAGTGTTCTGGAACAACTACTAGGAATCAAATCTCTTACTTTTTCTGACATCACTAAATGAGCACTTAGGGGCTGGGCAAACGAGCATTTGTAGCACAGACACTTCTCCCATGTTAGAAGGAATTAGAATTTCAAGTTAAAAGGCAAAACTACTTCACAGTAAGACACACACATTCACCACCTCATTCCCAAAGCCATGGCTAGGAGCAGCACAGATTCTGGCAGTGAGGGAAGAGCACCATGACCTGCCAGCACCACGAAATTCAAGGGGTTTAAGGAATCCGATCCCATTAACTGTCAGAGACACCCAGAATTCCAAAGGAGACACAATCCAGAGATAATGGGATCTTTCCCATTCAAGTACCAGATTAATGAAGAGAAGCTTGGGAGAACAAGAAACCACACCCAGAATTCAGGCAAACACAGAAATCCAGTCTGAGAGTTATTCCAGTGAACTTTTAACTTCCCTAACACTGACCTGCATACGTTACAGACCAGGGCTCTATCTGGGCCCACTCAGGGGAGACCCTCAACTGAGCATCTGTGTTTTCCTGTAATTCTTTTAGATAATGTCCTTGAAAGGACCCAGAACATCTAGGCCCCAAAGCCACAGTGCAAAATAATATATTGAGACTTTCACGTAACGCACGAAATTCACACGGCACCCAAAAATCACACCAATTACATAGGTCATAAAGTTGGGTCATATTAATTCTTACTGGTCAGCAGGCTGCCCACAGAATTCCCCTAGGATTTGCAGAAGAACTTCTGACTGGACATAGAGAAAGGGAACCCCAAAAGCCATCAGCTGACACATGAAAAAGGAGTCCAAAGGGTTCTGGGCTACCTGGTGCCCAATCGAGGAAACTGTGCTTTGCAGGCGCTGGCTTGCCACCCTAACTCTGTCAAAGAGGCCGAGAGAGTACTGCACCACCCTGCTAAACAAGGAAGCGGAGCTACCTGGGGCCCTTTCTGCTGAGGTGGAGATGGTATTTGCCCGTCCACTTCCATCACTTGCCATGGTGTCCTGCAGAGGTCCTTTGGTGTCCTGTAAGAATGCGGGGGAAATTAAATTCGTATTAAAATCGAAAATGCCTCAGAAATACTCTTTTTTTCATGTGAGGCTATATGTACTGAACACATTGAACTAGGACGACATCCCTCTCGCAATTAAGATACCCCTTAATCATCACGTAAGGCAACGTCTGAATCAAGTATGTTCATTCTCAATCTATGGGCTTTATTAAAGCTCTGAAAAACAAGCCGGATATCCAAGAAAATCAAAGCAGTAAGATCCCTAAAGTCTGCTCATCTGGGAAATAAAACAAGTACCATTTTTTAGTCTTTATTTTTGGCAGGAAGCATGGCACAAATATTGGAATGGATCCCTTATCCTTCCAAAAAGAAGGAGTACAGCTTCAGCTTGTACTAATAAAACCTGAGAAACAGGCAGAAAGACAAGAACCACGACTACCACAAAGGAAGATATAATTTAAGGGGGAAGGACAGTTTGTTGCATGCAAGCTTAACAGAACTTGTTAAGAGACTAGCATATAGTTTGCCCAGACAGAGTATGCAAAAATACTGAAAAAGGGGTTGAGGAGACAAATTAAGGGCCTTGGATTGTAATGGAAAAGCTGGGAGACTTTTCTGTATTACACAGTGCGTCTTGATCCTACATTTAAAGCACAAATGCTTCCATTACGACAGTATAGGAAAAGGGATGTCCTTTCTTTTCACACAGGTTCCCATTAACACACAGAAAACCTTCAGAAATGAAGGCAGGTCTTCTTCATAGCCTATGCAAGTGGGGTAGAACTTCATGTTTCACAGGAAATGCAAATAATTTGTTTCATCTTAAGAAAAACCATGGAGAAACAAAGCAAAACTGAAACCGGTAACATAATTCATCTAGTCTCTGCATGGACTGAACAAGTACTCCAGCTGACAAGAAAATAAATCAAAATCCTGTTCTGAATAGGACAGTACATTATTTTATAATAAGAACCATGAAAAGAGAAATGGTAATTAAAGGAACTGCTTTTAAATAAAATTTATAGAACTGCAAGGTCTCATGACATAAAAAAGCAACTCGATGCACTCTGAATTCTTCTACTTTCTGGCAAAAACCCAGCATATTTACTTTTTCAATGTTAAGAATCAAAACCTATTAAAATGACATGTTAGATGAAAATAATGAGTTACCTTTCCTGACAGAGGACCCACTGCTGGCCTCTTCCTTTGAGCATAACCAGAGAGTCGGTAACAGTAGTGAGGCTTACAGTAGAATTTACCTGCAGATAAAACACGAATGACGGTCAACAATGAGAACACAGCAGTTTAGCACAATATAAACATCCCTCTCACTGCAACTTAATTTCTGCTGCCATTCCCGTTGCTCCCTCTAGTTTCTTCACTATACATGGCGGCAAACACTATCTGAAGTTTTAACTCCAGCCCTCCTCTCTCCCCCTCCTAGCTAGCCTCCTTTCCATTGGGTGCCTGATAGCCATTTAGCTTAAAATCCTATCAAACACCAAAGCAAAGCTGTGAGGCTTGTGTGGTATCACATGCTAACAATGCGGCAGTGTGTGAGGAACAAAGAAATCATCACATGAAAAGCTGGCAGAAGCACTTTTGGAAAAAGCAAGAATGAATACAACCAGCAGAGGAAAGTGGGAGAGGACAGTGTTAACTCCCAAAGAACCGTCTCTAAAAATGCACAGTGGCTACTTGTGGAAAGGACAATCAACCAATGATTCATTTTCACAACTAAGACCTTTTGTGATACTACTGGTTTAGTAACACCCCAGAAGTCTAGACAGGTTTTCACCGGTATCTGAAAACTGTCAGGAAGCCAAAGCAGCACTAGTAATACCATAATACAAATAATAATAATAATGGCAGCAAATAGATGGCACATAATTATCTTCCAGTGTACCTTTGTCAGTGTATCCTGCTTGGTATATGCAGCCCATAGCATCCCCTACTGCTATCTTATTCCTACGACTTTGCTAATGCATTTCAAACCTATATACTGACCTTTGCCCCTTCCTCTAGTTTCTCTGGGCTGGTATTTGCACAATGCTTTGTTTTATGATGGAAAAGTGACAAACACTATCTTTCAAGAAGTCTCTGCTTAAATAAACCTTTCTTAACATCTACCCTTTCCAAAAACCGCTCTTTCAAATGTCTGAAAAGAACAACAGAAAAGCTCTTACATAAAAATTCTCAGACTTTGAAGTCCAAAACCAGATACTGACTGCAGAATGCTGTAGAATGCTCATCAGTCCAAACAGCTAGACTTAACATCTCCTTTCCAAAAACCGCTCTTTCAAATGTCTGAAAAGAACAACAGAAAAGCTCTTACATAAAAATTCTCAGACTTTGAAGTCCAAAACCAGATACTGACTGCAGAATGCTGTAGAATGCTCATCAGTCCAAACAGCTAGATGAATAGCAACAATGCGTGTATATCTTTGTTATTTTTCCTCTCAAAGAAAACCCAGAATGAAATATAAGCTAAATTTTCACAACGATTAGATTAAATAGGATACCACATATTTCTGTTTGGCCAGATCTGCTTCGTATATGTACACAACTGTTAGGCATGTAATACCATTTCAGAATCAATGCTATAAGTGTGCTGAAACTCCAAGCTTTGTGTTTGCTTCATTGAAAACTATCTGGCCATAACTGCATACATAAGCTTGCTGGCAGAGGGAATCACTAAATCTGGTGGCAAAAACTGTTTCAGCCCATACGGCTGACAGAGGAGCACAGTCTGTTATTGCTAAATATATAGTCAAATATTCAGTCACTTGTGAATGCCCAAGACAACAGCAGTGCTCAAAAAAGGCTTTTTCCCAACTTTGATTACTGATGATGTTACTTTTACATGCTGATTTCAAAATTATTATTGGCCCCTTTAAACTCGCATGCCAAGTCTGCTGACCTTCTGGCCAAGTAATAATGGGTTTTCTATTCCTTACTGGAGACGGGTTTGATGATTCTAAGTTTCTTCAACTCTTCGTGACTAAGCAAGTCCATTATTTAAAGTGATTATATAATGCATCATCAAGACATAATTTTGGTTCTTTTTGCCCCTTAAGCCTAGATGGTATTTCCATGGCCATTATTCTACCCAGTATATGCAAAAATATTCTTCCTAGCTACACGCAGTAGATACCTATCAATTTTATAACATTTCAATCTGCAGTAGAATATTCTGGAGTTTCTTCCTGTGGCATATCACTTTATAATTTTTACTTCATCTTTGCCTCAATGAGTGAGGAAAACTATCGGTACTAACACTTTTTTTCCTGTTATTTTGGTTTCTACACCATCATGTCTGGAGTAGAATCCTTTCCACCTAACCTCTCACTAGTTTTACATCATTTTGCACATATTTTCCTATTGAGATAGGAATAAAGATAAATGTCAGCTGTGGAAGAAAATAAAGGCATACCTGCTGATATAAATAAAGGTTTATCTGAGATACTTTCTCCTATTTTTTCTCCAGAAAACATGAAATTTCTCTCAATCACTGCTCAAGCAAAGAATGCAACACACTGCTATTCTTAGAAGGAGATTACTTTTCACAAGTAATGTGTGATTTCAAATTATTACTTTCAATATGCACACTTTGTTGATAAATTGAGTTTCATCTGCTGCCACATTGTCTGCTTGCTCAGATTTGTTAGGTATATCTGAAGCTTCCCTTAATTCTTAGCGTGCTAGATTCTGTTAACTGAGTCATCAGCAAGTTTTGTAGTCATATTCCTTCTTCCTCAGTCTATCAGATACAGAAAACAAGAGTCATTACTGAATCTTCAGTAACTACTTCAACACCACTTTCTCTATATATAAACATTGACTTACCTGTAATCAACTTCGATGCTCCATTTTTTGCTATATAAACAGAACTTAGTTTGTAATGAGCTATTATCATAGTCCCTGATTATGAAGTTCCTATTTTAGTACATCTAAAATAAACATACAGAGTTGGACAGTTGTGATGTCTTCGAGAAGGAGACAAATGCAGTTGGCTTTTACAACATGTTATTTTCTCTTAAGTGATACTAAACACTAAGGAGTTTCCTCATTTGACAGTACTGAAATAAGAGTAAAGGGTCTAGCATTCAAACTCAGCCTCCAAACCCTTTTAAAGCCCCCAGCTACTATTTGTTTCTTTGCATTCTAGCAGCTGTTATTATGTTAAATTAATTCCTAAGAGCTCAGTTATTTTGCTGTCAGCATGACCTGGCCACAGGAAATCCATATAGTTTCAACAGTTTGAGAGATGGTGTCTTTGGGACGAAAGCTACTCTCTTCCCTAACTCGCCATATAATTTTTAAGCAAAGAAAGAGCTGAAATCACTAGGCAGACTTCCAGGACAGTTAAGAGAATTCTGACAAAAAGGTAATTTCTCTTACCATCTTCAATATCATAGGCGTAAGATGACAAGCGCAGAGTTGTCGCACAGTATTCACACTTGAAGCAACTGCGGTGGAAGAACTTGCCTTCAGCACTCAGCCTTTCCATCACATAGACTCGCTTGCGGCAGAAGTAACAGACATCACTGCCTCCCAGGTTTTGGGGGAACTCCTTTTTGAGCGAGCCCTAGACAAAAATAGGCATGGCTAAATTTGAGTGTGTCCAGCCTCACCAAGATTGCACGGTCATATTTTCTCTTCATTTCTGCGGATACAGGAGCATCTGGATGCTGCAGTTCTTGGACACAATTCACAGTTTTGACCAGGACACCAGAAATTAACCTTATTGTTCAGGGAAGAAGGTCCTAGGATGCCATGCCTACATATGTCAGGAGTAAAATAAGCTCTGGGTGGAAGAGTGGACACCAGTAGTATTAATGATGACCTTGAAATAAATGACTGAAGGAGACATATGATGGAAAGCCAAAACCATTAGAAATCCCTCAAACAGCAATTGTTAGACCTACGTTATCAAAATCGGTATCTCCTCCAGAAAACAGTAATGCAGAAGTAGCCCCAGTGGATCAAACACATCTTCATAAATATGACAAGCAGTTTCTCAACTGTTTATGCACAATCCTTGGACGCTGAGATTAGATTAAAACATTTTGCAAGGAAAATGAGGACAAGAGTGAGGGTGGATGGAGAAAGGGAAATTAAGTCTTTCACAAAGCTATGACAGATTCCATCAGAGGTAGTAACAACTGGACACTCACAATACTTCAGATCTACAGTACATCTAATCACAAACACGCATCACCTTCTGTACATCGTCTTACCAGTTCCTTCTTGTCTAGAAGGGTTTTGGGTTGCTCTTTCCTTTGAAGCTGATTGGCTATCTGCTCAGCCAATGAGCTCACTCCGCCTGTGTACATCTTTATATACTTCTACCAGATGGATGGAATAAAACAATAGTGAAGTGAGAAAAGAAAAAAAGAATCAAATTAAAAAAATGACTAAAATGATAATAGGTTAGGTGGTGAAAAGGTGCAGAGAGGTCAAATCATGCCAAGACAGTGGACAATATGAAGTGACAAGTAGTAACAGCAAAGCTAGTGTCATCAGAAATCACCAGACAGTCCAGGATCAACTGTAACAACGGAAAGGAAGGCTTGCATTTTGCATTCTCTTAAGTGCTCTAGAAATACTATGATGATGAAGAAAGCAGCTCTTATTTTCACTCGTGGGGTATTTTGCACCTGGAAACCTGAGCATAGACACTTCTCAAAGACGAGGCCAAATATAGGTTAAGATTTTAGGTTCCAGGTAAAATTGGCATCAGAAACAAAGATCTTTTAGAAGACATGTCACAGTCTAATGCAACATGCTGATCACAACAGCATATTTATACACTTAGCAACCGGAAAGAATTCATTTACAGAGCATTCATAGAGCAAGGAGAAATCCTTAACTAAGGAACTTACAGAGATTCAAAAATATGAATTCTTGCAATGCTAAAAATACAGAGGTTTATATGAAAAAAGATGCAAGAGCCTCATCCAATGCATTAAAGCCATACCTGCATACATCTGGAACATATACTTGTTCAACTGTGAATATGGCTTTATGACTAGGCTTTTCTCCATCATGGGTACTGACTGACTCCATAACTTTGGATATCTAAAAACCCTCCAGTATTCCGAGAAATCTAGGCAGGTTGGTTGTTACCTTAGATGGTACAAAATGAGTGTTTGCAAGTCAGGTTCAGTCACTGCAGGAGCAGAGGAAGTGTTTTTCACAGGAAATACTTACAACCGTTGGCAATAATTACATGGTTAAGAAAATTATGTGGTTACATCCCTGTTAGCTCAATCACACTGCAAACGCCATGTATTTGACTCAGAGCAGCAAGGAGCACACCAAGCAATTTTCCTTTTCCAGACTTAAGAAGCATTATGAATGTTTATAGCTGAAGTCTCCTCAGCAAATGAAGGATCATCAGAGAGACACTCCAGCTTCTGGCAAGTGTAAAATACCAAGAATAACAGTATTCTGTTATCGTACCTCAAAAGCCCCTTTACTCATATAGCAGAACTTGTTTGAAGCACACTAATTATTTCCCACAACTAATAAAACAGCATAAATTTCATACGTGTGGTTATTAGCCTTTTAGGAATGTTTAAGACCTTCACATGCTCAGACATGAGAACAGCAGGAAGCATCACAAAAACTGAAATTCACCACAGAATGGGTGGTACTTTGGGAAAAAAGATTTTGAAAATGGAGTGCTCAGCCAGAGATTACCGCTGCTATCACTGAAGTCCTAATTCGTTAAGCTCTGTGCCACTCTAGTAATGAGGGTTTATTTCTACCTAGAAAGAACTTCTACCTGTCTACTGATTCCACCCTAAAATGCAGAGCACTCACAGGATTTATATATGCAAGAAATTACAAGTGATTTGTCTTTCAGCATTTTCCAGGTTCCATTCTTCCTCAGCTAATGTGTGCACACACATATGTGCACAGTTGCCTTTCAATGTCATACATAATATCTTGTCAAATATTACATTTAAAATGGTGCCCATTGGAAAAAATTTCTTCCTTTCATTCAACATTGATCTTTAACTGGCAACCATAATGATTTGGCCAAAAGCTTTCCATTTTCTGCTAACAGACCAGAAACCTTTGAGGCTTTTTAAGTTTTCTTAAAAGATAGTTCAAGCTTTTCCATGGGAAAAATTTTCTTTTAGCTGAACCAGGTTTCCACTGAACAAGTTTTGATTTGAAACCTTCATCCAACCTTAACTGCAGATGCTTCAGGATCTTTAAATTTCTACCAGCACATATGAAGTTCCATGCTTAAAAAGTGATTATGCTAATCTTAACTCACAATACCTTGGACTATTTGGTGTGGGAAATTTAGTTGCTGAGTTTTTGATTCGGGGTTTTGTGTTTCTGATTTGTTTTGCTTTTTTCCTGTACAGCACATCTGGCCTAATACTAGGTCTTAAATGAAGCATTTTATCTTTCCTCCCGTGGGCAAAAGCCTTCAAGATATACAACGTTCTGCAACATTTTCACGAGCGGGCAAAGAACCCACTCCAGCTTAGGTCAAATCAAGCTCCTGGTGTTTATGTATGACAACTGCAACTAGTTCAAATTCTCAGTGATTTTTCAGAAAGCCAAAGTACTTTTTATTTCACACTGTCCATTAAGCATATATGCACAAACACATTATGTAGTTTGGCTCAAGATCTCAACAAAAGCAGCAAGCCAAACAAGAACGCTGTACTGCAAAGCCAGAAGGACTGTAAGTGCTCAGAAAAACTGATTTGAGAGTGAGATGTACCACAGGCTTTTCATTTACACCAAATGTTAAATATATTTAGTTTCAAACTGCTTTATGGCTGACAATAACCAAGCTATGCCACAGGTTGCCTCTGGTTCGTTCTCATTTGTGCATGAATATGCACAGACATTGCATTCTGCAGGTGAAGCATTGCAAGCCTAGCCATCTCTTGTGGTGCGTCCTTGGCTGGTGGGACTGGGGTGCAGCAAGCAAACACAGCTGAGTGCACCTTGCAATGCTCAGGCTAATGCTACCTGTCGAAGAGAGTCAGATGAAGGCGAAGAAGGGCGATTAGAAGAACGGAGGCTAAGGGAGAGCTCCCACTGGTCAACAAAGAATCGGCGAGACGGTTCAGTCTCAGGCTAAAAAATAAAATAAAAATCAAAACAATCATACATGGCAAAAGAGGGAAGAGAGGAGAAAATAAGAAAAACTCAGGCCCTTCTGCCCACCATAAAAAAAAATTTCTTAAACACTCTTGTAGGAAAACTTGGAGAAAAATGTCCAATGTATCTTCACTTCCTCCTTAGTGAGACAGAGTAAGTTATTCTTAATTTGCTTTTTATTAAGTTTTAAGTTATTTAGGACCATTTGGAAGCAGTTACCTACTTCCACAGATGTCCAACCTCCTGTAACCCAACCAACTAAGCCACTGGCAAAGATCCCGAATCAATTTCCTGTGCTCCTCCTTTATCTCCCATTGTTCTGTATTACTAACTATATAAACCAAAAGCCCGCTCTCCTTGGGGATGGAAGAAAAAGAAATTAATTGTATGCATTACCAGTAATTAGCAGCAAATTTCCAACCTAAAGTTTACTATAAGAAGATTGGAAACATCACACTAAAAAGAACGAAACAATAAAAAACAACCTGCTATTCTTTCTTATCAAATTGCAAACAATAAATCCCAAACTGAGAATCTGCATCCTTCTGAAACTGGTTCCTCACAGGAGAACCCAAAAATTTGGTCTTCTAACATACCCCTCTCATTACCTCTATGGTTCATTATGCCTATCTCCCAAGAAATACTTCACATAAATAGGAAAAAAACAATAGCTGGAAGTATCAGACAAATAGCGCTGGTAGGAACTGTGCATTCCTAGAAATTATAATCTGGAAAGAAAAATTATGCAAATTTCAAATATTCGACCGTCTTTTACAAGAAAATTATGTTTTCCATTATAAAAAGGAAAAATAAATGTCATGTAGCTGCATAACCCAAGAAAATAGCTATTTCTAGCCACTTAGAATGGCCTAGCCTCAAGATTAAATCTACTGGACAAAATGCAAAATAGCTTGGCTTTCACAATTCCCAATGTAAAGAAATGTAACTGTTTACTTTATACACAGATTTTCTGTACTTAAGATCATCAACATTTAAAAATTTCTTTTCTGAAAATGTCTTTCTTTGCTAAGCTTTCTTTCTCTTACTACTCTATTTTTCTTGTTTTCTTCCCCTAAAATCCCACACCATACAATTTCCCCAATGTAAAGAAATGTAACTGTTTACTTTATACACAGATTTTCTGTACTTAAGATCATCAACATTTAATCAAATTTCTTTTCTGAAAATGTCTTTCTTTGCTAAGCTTTCTTTCTCTTACTACTCTATTTTTCTTGTTTTCTTCCCCTAAAATCCCACACCATAATCTATCATTGCCTGCAGTGTTCCAACATCTGTTTCCTCTTTTTCCTCTCTGTCCTACCCACTTTATCCTTTCCTCTACTTTGTGTTCTCCGTCTCCCATATATTTTCTCTTCTCCTTAATTTGGTACTATACAGAAATTAGGCAGTTTCAGAAATAATGTCTGTCTTTGCATTGTAATGCTGTTAATCTTTTCCATCCTCAAAAGGAGCTTAAAAGTGCTAGAGAGCAATACAAAAGGTAGGAGCAAGATGTTTTGGTGTAGGTGTTCATTTCTGTATCATAATTTCAACTGAGTAAGGAAATGCACATGAGCACGCTGTCCTTGGATCATGCCCAAGATCTTCAGTTGTGTCACCCATTAACAAATGGATGTTAATATGTTTAAATTAGTCTTCTTACTCAGTCTTTCATGGCTGCTTCTATGTCCCCAAATTCTATATCAAATCCAGCCAAAGATTCACTCTTCCTTCCTTGAGAACAGCTTCACTGACTTTAATTATCAGCAAAGACAGCATCCCCAAAAGAACAGCAATGGAAAGTGACCTAAATGTTATAAATTTCCTTTTGACATGGCTTGGAAAAGTTATGCCCACCAGCAAAAGTTCTGGGACTGTTTACACCCCAGCCCAAGAAGAGAGCTTGATTTTGTATGGTTAACTCAAAACAATAAGTTATGAAAAAAATCACTTCTGTAGGTGGTGTTTTCCAAAAGCACTTTCCAGTTTGCCAAATGCTGTTGAAGATAACTGAAAACAGAGATAGGGGCAAGCAACTAGAAACTAAAGAAACCACTGTTCAAACTGGCATGCTCCCATATGCCAAAGTTGACACACTGGAGAGAAAATTAAGAACAAAACCAAACCAAAACAAAAGCGTACACTGGAATCAAAGAAAATCTGCACAAGCTGCCAACTCTACTGTTGGAAATAAGTATACAGGAAGTATGGACACAAAAGTAGTACTTCAGAGCCAGGAATCATGCTTGGAAAATGCGAATGTTCTTGCTTCCAAAAGCAAGTAAAAGTTGTGAGCAACTGACTGGTAAATGACCACTGTGAGATGATTTGATCTGGAGTGCAGCTGGTTTTCAGCATGTACTCTGAAGCTTGGAGGCTGTTTTTTACCTTATTGTTTATATTGTTTTGAGAAACTGAAACATTGTCATTCATCAAACAAGGAGACAGTTAAGAACCTGCAAGTAGGATAAAAATACTACACATGACTGTACAGCAGTGGTCATCGTATTTTGGTGAATTTTTCTATCCCGCTGACCCCAGATGTCACCGGTACTCAGAATCCCACACTGATACAGGACACCAGATAGGCAGGGCTGTAGTCACCTGATGCCTCACTGCAGGTCTGGACTCCAGGAGGGCAGCCAGCTGACATGCCCTTTGCTCAACATTCTCAGGCACTTGGTCATCAGAAAATAAACGAAGAGATCTCTGTGAGATGAGGAAGGAGGGAGGAAGTAAACAAACCAGCAAAAAAAGCCCCAAAAGGAATAGACACCAAAATGCCAGACAAAAGGTATAAAATTCACATGCAGAACAGTAAGAGGAGCTCCCATGTGAAGACTGTTTTTATTTCCAATAAATGGAAACGATTTATTTCCAATGTCTACTGTTCTAACGAAGTGCTAAGTTTTGACTCTCAAGGCCAAGATAAAACAGTTGATTAGTCATTATTCACAACTCTCCTACCTAGGACTGCTGCAGCCAAAACCAAACAAGCGTGTGGCCTCTCTCTCTGGCATTACCATCCAAAACCAAAAAAAAAAAAAAAAAAAAAAAAAAAAAAGTGGCTTTATCATGCACAAAGGAGCTTATTTGCCAACTTATTTCACCATAGTTCTCAATTCTCAAGGATTTCCTTTACATATCTAAACCTGCACATACTTGTGTTTCTCAGATTTTGTGCACAGCAACACTTTTTTTAGGGTAATGTACTTCAGTTCTCATAAAGAATGAGTTCGTCTCCACTGGTATATGAAAAGTGAACGCTGTACTTGCCAAAGAGAGGATGTTTAATGAGACTGGCTGGCTGAAACAAAGCACAGCAAAAATCAAACTATCACAGAAGTTGCCAGTTTTACTCCTGCAACTTCACTGCCCTACTTGTTCTTACTGCACTGCCATGTCAACACATCCCAGGCACAATATTTGACACCTCTGCTATTCTGGTCTTTCACATCAATCTTCTTAGACTGTTGTGTGGTGTACTTAGTGACATGGAAAAGAGACCTGGCTCGCGGCCTGCTGTACAGGACAGAGGTATCACCTGCAATATCACATAGCCTTTAGCTAATTTGTTTGTAGAGTTCAAAAGTAAATGGACCAGGAAATACAAACATGTGCATGAAGAAACCTCAGACTTGATCTGTCAAGAATGCCAGTGTGCTGCTACATATTGCTAACTGTCCTCCAAAGCAGAACAGAAAATCGGGTTCACACCCAATTTTCAAGAAACACTTTTCCCATTCAGATGCATTAATACTACTCTCTACTTTCAGCTGCTTTCAGTTCCACCTACTCCTTCCTACTAGGTCCTTTTCACTAAAACTGGGGCCTATTATAAAGCTGTGGACTTCTGTGTCACTGCAGACACACACTTATTCATTTTCTACTGCCTGTCAGAAAACATGCGGCCCACAAGAGTCTTTTGTTAGAAAACATTCTGAAGGTTGCAACAGTTTTATAGCTGGCTACCACTTATGACTTAATTCATTCAAAGCCTTTACTGGAATGTCAATTAATTTGTCAATATGAATTCAAATCAACGAATTCTTCTGAGTGCCTATCTTTTCTTTTCCCATGCTTCTGTATAATACTGAGTCGTTCAGACAGACCGTTGAATATTTCATTGTTAAGAAGGCTTCAAAGTCTCTATGCTAAATAATGCCTCATCATTTTTACTTTTACTTTGGCCTGTAGGAGGCAGGATGGAATGCCAGTTGTTTAACCATCCAGAAAGCAAGCAGTGGAAACAATGCAACCATGTTCGCATGAATTAGCACAAAACATAACTCTTCTTGTTCTGCTACAGCCACAGCATACTTCAATAAAGAGGTGTAAGAGAAAAAGAAGAATGGGAAGAGCTTCAATGCTAGATCTACAGCAAAATAAAAGCATATAGCAAACTGTTGATGAAGGCTTGTTATGCATTTATGTGGGTATCACACAGAAATAATCACTCCTAATTGACTCTTAGCAATTCCAGCGTGTTAACAGCAGCATTAGGATAAGTGTGTTTCACTACTCAGTACATTTGTTCTCCGTATTACACACATCCACCACAGCCTTGTGTCATCAGCATCCATGCCATTTGTTCATGCTGTTTACCCTTTCCTGTCTGGGACTCTGCTCCCCGGGACAGTCGGCACCAGGTTCCCTGTTTCTCTGCAGGCAAAAATTATGAGCTTAATAACAACCACAGACCAACTTCCTAGTCAAAACACACTTCATCTGATTTTTCTTACGATGCAGGCAGAAAAGAGGCCCTAATGATAGCAGAACAGTTTATTAAGAAGAATATTCTAAAACTGGCAATAATAACTTGGATCCTGTAGGGAAAATTTTAAAAAACTGTCCGTATATATCCATATTAGGTCAGTAAACCACAATATAGTACCACAATGCAATGAAATTAGTACGATAGAGATGGTAAGACACTCAACATAACTCATACTGTGATGTTAGATCAAAGGAAGGAAATGGAAAGTTTAAAAGAAGTGGCAGAATGAATGCATTAGAAGCACAGAGGTACAACTTTTAAAAGACATCAGTGTAACAAGGATATAGATCCATCTAACTCGCTGTGAGGCCTAGGCCAAGACAATTTCAGGAAAAGAAACCATTCCTAAGGAAGAAAAAATGTCTCCAAAAGCAGACCCCTCTCAACTGAGTCTAACAGATCAGTTCTGTAGCACAGGGGGTAAAAATTCCTCAGAGTTAAAAGGAAGAAGCCAAATTTTTTATTATTATTATTAGTTTGAGCAAGAAGACATGCAAAAAAAAAAGTTTCCTACAGGACACAACGTAGAAAATGGTCAAAGTACACTTGGACCCAGCAGTAGTTGGCTCTCATGACTGAACTAGGCAACCAAAAAGACACAGGACAGACAAACACTTGGAGAAGCTAGGGAGGGAAAATACAGAGCTAAGGGGTCCTTAGTAACTGAAAGCCAGTTTCTCTATATGGAAAATGAATCCCACGCCATAGATTAAAAAGTAAAACTCAGCATTTAACTGTCTTAGTTTCTCTTTCTGTAAGCTTGGGGTAAACCCTTCTTCTCTCATAAAAATGTATCTGTCAAAATTTTCAAAGGATTTTGACAAGAGGAAGGCAGCTAGCTATCACATCATCTGATAATATTACACTCAATTCAGTTTAAATGTGGGTTTTGCTGATGAAAAGGGCCTTCACCACCCATTCTATCTAGATGTCCATTCCTGTATCCTTTCTTGCACCATGGTGTCCACAGTGTGCCAGAAAACTAACCACTTTTTTGTTAGGACAGTTTTAAATCAGATCAGTGAGCAGACCTGACCTATCTTGCAGATGCAGACACCAGAGAGGCAGCAGAGAATGTGTGCTCCAGAGGCTGACAGTAAGTAGACCAGATTAAATATAACATGTAACAACACTCTGAGAAATCACAGCAATAAGGCAAGTCAAACTTTATGTCTAAGAAGAAATCTCGTCCACTCTGCTAAAAGGTAACATGCCTTTACAGAGTTCATAGGCATACAAGTGTACAGCAAAAAAACATTTTCCACCTATGGGGAAATTTATTTGTACAATTCCTATTTAAAGTTATGGGAGGTCTATGGAACTGTGGCTGCCTTTTTATCACCTCAAGGTTAGTTCAGGATTGATCAGGGAGGAGTGGATTTTATTACTGCAGTAGAAAAATGAAACAAAAATTTTTAAAAGGTACAACTCAAAGCAGCACGATGACCATGTACAACAAGACACAAATATTAAAGGATTTCAGGTAATATTTAACTAGAAGGACAACAAACACGTGCACAAACATCTGGACGTACATTTATACACTCTGTTCAGAACAGCTCTCACTGCTCCAAATTCAAACTCAGACAGACTGAACACAAACTCTTCTGAGACAAAAGCTTGGGTGTGGGGGAAATGGAAAGACCACATTGGATATGTGCAGGCCACTACAACACTCTAAAAAGGCACTTCATACAAGTAATCCTGAAAGAGTTTCATGAATACAAGGGCAAATTTTCATTCACACTTGTTCAAATAAAGAGTGGAGATGGAGAAAAGTTGCATTTTCTTTCCCCGCACTACTCCAAACATTTAATTTCTATTTTGCTGCAACTCAAAACTGGAAAAGGCTACTGTAATTACAATTACCCTACAGTAAAATCTCAGAGTCTCCAGTGCATCAGATAATCATCATAATCATACTTCCGGTGAGCTAACGCCAACCTGTGTTTCTAGTCTAAGAGGCTGAAGAAGCCCTATCGTCATCTGAAAAAAGAAAACTGGTAATGCGTTTGTAAATAGGATATCCAGTAACTGATCTAGTCACTTGTACAAGCAGTAATGAAGAGAGAGGGACAGAGCATGCAGAGGGAATCACCTGCTGCCTGGGATACGGTGGAGAGGAAGGTGGAGTGGAAGAAGAGAGCATGATCACTTTTTTGGGGCAGGTCCGAGAACGTTCCTTATTCCTCAGCTTTTTTTAAAACAGAAAAAGAAAAAAAAATCATAATAATGGTAGAAAAGAGATAACATTACCATTGGCTTTGGTGAGACAGGCCAGAACATGTGAACTGAGGGACCGTGATCCTAAGCTCACACCTCTCACGAATGACCTAAAGCCACGTTTTATCTGAAGCTAAAAGACCGAAGTTTTTCGCCCATAGCCACACTATCACATGTCCATTTGACAGATACTTCTAGGGGCAGCCAACATGTACTTATATCAATCATCAGTTGAGTTTCTGACTCAAGGTCTTACAATCGGTGAAAGGTACAACTTGGAACTTTGCATAGCACAGCTGGACCGCTGTCTTTGCTTCATGAAAAATTACTTATTGCTGTGCCTTGCAATGTTTAAAGATATCCATCCTGTTGACCTAATTACTCTTGCTTGCAGTTCATTAGCAATACAACTCCAGCCACAGTATTGTGTTCTCAGCTTCAAATCCCTCCTCTTTAACTTACAGATACTAAACCACCTCAGGCCAAGCTGAATTGTACTCTGCCATTCTACTAGAACAGAAATACAGCTGTTTTATAGCTAAAATGTAGCCATATCTAATAGTCTGAATATTACACAATGCACATACATGTCCTCATTTTAATATGCCAGAAAACATGCCTTTCTAGTTCTGTACCTCCTTACTATGTACAGTCTTTTCTCCACCACTTCTTGATTATTAATGTATCTTCTGCCTGATTTTTCCTTTTCTTTTGAGTTCTCACCAGAGCATATCTGGAAATTGTTGCATTGCAAAAAAAATGCTGTGTATCCAAAGCCACTGTTAGATAGCCTCCAAAGAAACAGCATGCTGTTTAAAGGTATTACACATGTTCCTTACTGCCCTTACAGCTGAGCTGACACTAACATCTGTTTGGGTATTCTCTTCCCTTTCAGCATAAATAAATAAACAAACAAACAAACTCTTCTAATTCAAACAGATGCTACAAGCAGCTTAAACTAAAGCACATGACTTTGCACTGAAGTGGATGAGGAACATTTATATGTTGTTTCAAAAGGCTCAGCTGTGAAGTCACTAATTTCTAGCTGAAAGGTTGGTAACATTTTCAACCACTACAGCTGTTCATGGACTTTCGTCTGACCATGGCCGAGTTTGCATTTCAAATTTCAACATTTTCACAAACTTGTATATTTTTCCATGGCAGATCTCGGAATATAACATTGTACAGATGTATGAAGTACATGTTCAGTCCTCCAGTAGGATGCATATCTGAGCATGCAAAGACAAAGATGGCTATAGGAAAGAGGAAAGCTATATCAACAGTTTTAAATAAGAAATTAAGTAGGAAAAACAGTATTTGCAGAAATCATTGGTGTTATAAGTTCTCTTCTATTAAAATTTCAGCTCCTGCCGACTGTGGTCATCTCAGTTAGTCATCGTATATCTCCAAAAACCACAGTTCCAACAGAATTACTGAAAAGAGTTTGTACTGCTGCACCTTTACCACACTTCAGGAGACCATCTCAAAAGAACAAGCATCAGACCTCCAGAGGCAGAAAAGATTTGCACCAAAAGACACGTGACCTCCATCTTACAAGCATCTTAGCACACATCAGTGATTTAAGCTTATGCATTACACACATACCTTGTTGCTGTCAGGAGACCTATGAAACTATAGCAGAAAACTGCTGAAGGCCATAAGCTGAGAGTCTGGAAAGCCAGGACAAAATTCAGTTTAAAAGGCTCGTCTCCCATACCATACCCAGTCAGATCCTCTTCTGGACAGACCACATGGCTTTTCAATGGCTTCATGATCCCTGATGAGATGCTCTTTCCCAAAGGCAGCCAAAATGGCTTGGAAAGCAATAGAACACACCATGGAAGATGTTTTTATACAAGTAGGCATTCATTTGAGGAGATTAACCACCACACCATGAAACACAATCCAGTTTTTTAGGAGATATTACCATCACATAAAAAATTACACACATTTGCACTGTGCACGTACACTTAATATCTTCATGCATTACCAGCTGCTGCTGAGGTGCTCATAATAGCACGAACCCAATTTTGACAACACAGACCAACATTCTTGAAGTGTAGCTCAATAAAGCAAACTTTGTAATCAAATTCAAGAGGAAAATGCAGGCCACACTGAATGCTGCGTGCAGCAGATTGGTGAGGTTTTTAACCTGCTTGATCTTTTGAAGGTTTTCCCTTTCCAAGAGAGATAGCATTAAAGGTCTTGTGATGAAAGTAAAAACTGCTTCAGAACAGATTCTGCCAGGATTTCACTCTTTCTAGGAATCCTGTCTTAGCAAGCCACCCCTACCCCACCTGTACAACAGACACAGAGACAGTCTGCCTTACAAACTCATTGAAACTGCTGGCCTTGTAACTCTTGACTCCAGGGCAAAGCAAGATTCTAGACTTAAACTGATAAGCAAGTACAGCTAAGGAAGTCCATCTGACAGACACTGGCAGGCAATAGCCCAAAGCAGATGTAAATTTTCCATCAAAACTGGGGGTCCAACCCAGACTACATCCTTTACAACTGTGTGGCTTCTCCCCTGCAATCACTCTTATGCTTTTGCAATATGCTTTCCTTTTCCATGCAGTTTCCAAGACGCAGGACCAAACCTATCGAACACAAGATGCAAAACTTCCCTTCTCCCAAAAACCCCTGAGGACCTCAACTTCATTCTGCCTACTGGCAAGAACATTAGACAACTTGTGATTTCCCTGAATAACACGTGACCACTTTGTCCCCTTAGGAACTGCTTTGTTCCTCTTCAAAGGACTCTTCAGTAGAAGGTATTTGCTATGTGATATATCTTACATGAAGTCACTGACAGAAGTTTCTGCTCATAAACTCTGACACCTGTGCCAAACAAGACAACCCTTTCCCATAGCTTCATGAACAGCTCTCTCCAGTAAACATACGTCCTCCCTAAAAAGCTTGTCAGGAGCAATACTAATCTTTTACAGTATCTCCAGTAACATGTACTGGTACCCCGCATCAAGTCCAACTCTTGGTAATCTGTGGCCCAGGAAATAGCTTTGTAGCTAGAGTGCCCAGTGTCACAGTAGGAAGCCATTTCAGTACCGTAGTAACACACAGCCTCACAGCTATTGGATTCTGCATGCCTAAGCAACCAGAATTAGGAATCTCAGTTGCCAGCTGAAGCACTGTTTCAGCAACAACTTCCTGCAGGATAGATTTCTCTCCAAGCTTGACAAAGCTGGCTGCTTGACTCAGTGGATGGCTTCCTGCCTCAGCTGATCTCTGATCAGTCGAGAGTAAATGGTTCTATATACTCCCATGGCTTTTGAATGAAGACAACTGATGTTCTTCATTTTCCCAGGCAAGTAATAAGGAACCTTTGGAGTAGGGACCGTATCAATTGTTTCTTTGATCATACTGTATCCTGCAGATTTTGCATCCTTGAGATCCAGTTTTATTCTTCTCCATTTCAAGTGTCAGATGAAAAGCACTGCAAAATCCAGCATGAAACCTGGACCCAAGAACCAACCATCTTCTGTTGACGCAGTAAAGCCTACCAAGGAAAGATCATCTCCAGCTGTAATCTTGAGAGGGAAATCATCCACAGAAGGTAATCAATGTCAGTGTTGAATAAAACAATGTAAGTCCTCTGAAAGTACAATTGTTACAGAAAGATGATTTTTCAAAGATCTGCCCTACATTGCTGCCTATATAGAGATGCTATTAATGTTGAGGGAGACCAGAAGGATGTTTTTTCTTCCCCCCACTCCCCCTTTTTTTTTTTTTAAAAAAAAGCACATAGTGCAAGCAAAAACAAGAACAAAAACAACAACAAACTGCTCTCTGGTGAGGAGAAAATCCTCATCATAAAAGCAGGAAACAAAAGTTTGTTCTTTTTTTGATCAGTTACAAAAGGACAACAATAAGAACTTCTGTGTTTCACCGTAAAGGCTTAATTATAAAGCCTTCATAAAGTTTCAATAGCAGGTTCAAATACAATCTCAAGGCTGCAGGATGTGATCTTCTCCAAATGCTAAAACACAAATCTTCATCCTTCTGAATTGGGATAGACTGGACTGCATTCGTTGTCTTCCTTTTTATTTGTGGGTAACATAAGCAGTGCTCATCAACTGACTTAATATTGTACAGCCATATTATGCTCTTCTGCATCAGTTCTTTGGGTTCTCCCCCTTTACCTGGGAAGTATTCTTAAAAAATGAAATTTGCCTTAATCATGGATGATGTGTATCCACCTGAAAGTGCTCATTAGCCTATAAAGAAGATTTTGATGACATAGAACATAGAAGAAAAAACACTGAGTCAGGAAACCTAACCATAATGTTGACATTTTTAAGACTCTCTTGACAGTCCTACTGACAACAATTCCCCTGGTTTAGGTCTTCTTTCTTGGAGAGAAATCTTCTAGATCATGGCACTGGTCATGACATGCAGCACTAATTGTGCTGAATGCCTTGAACATGAAGTTAACCATGAATCCATAAACATGCAGGACAGTGAATTTCCAAACTAGTGTCATCTTCTTCCTCTTGACTCCAAAGTATGCTCTGATTAAACTGCAACCAGAAAGCAGCAGATGTTTCTCCAAATTATGGCTGCCAGAAAAAGGTGTCTCAGCACTCTCAGAAACATGAGGAGGCCATTTGCACAGGGAAACAGTGGAAGCAGAGGAAGTTAGTGAGATAAGTATCCCTATCTGCCCGAAAAGATTGTCTGTCACAAGCCTTGCTTTTGAAAGTGCACTGCTGAAAGAAAAACACCGGCAATGACACTGGGCCAAAACACACAAGAGAAAATAAAATTTGATACCTCTTTTTTCTGCTGTTGATCCCTATTCTGACACCTCTGTGGCAGGAAACCTAAAATTTACTTAATTCACAGTAATACAGGAATCTGCAATGCAATGAATGTGAGAAGTTGGCAAGGACAGCTACATTTATCATAGAGAAAAGGAAACCACAATAAAGTCTCCTGTAACTGCAGAACACATAAGATTTCACATGTGAATAGCAAAACTGATAACCGATTTTACTATTTATACCAAAGGAAGAGTTTTAATATCATAGATGGCGTGACACCTTTAACCTCATTGGTTGCAATAACTGCTTACATTTTTTCAATTTTTTTCTAACAGAAAAATCTAGAAATACTCCAGATGATAAAATGTCTACACCAGGTTGCATCTGTAGGCAAGGTTTCTGCTAAAACATCCACTGAAACCCTGGGAACTTGAAACTAGCATAAGAGGGCTGGGAAAATTTGACTAAGTCCTTTTGAAACATTAAACCATGCATCATTACCAAAGGCAGATATTGATTTTATCCATTAAAAGTTAAATTATTTAAAATAATGGACTCGCAAAAGGTGCTAGAAAAGGACTGGTTTAAAAACAAGACAGTGATAGCTGGCGTTGGGTGCAGGCAATGCGTTGTATTCATAATCAGTTTCTTTACCTGTTTCCACTGGGGTATGGGAGCAAGACGGCCCTGCTCTCGTCTGCTGGATGGTTGGTTGTGAACACGCTCTTGATAAGGCAGGACAGGTTGCTGCATGTAGGTTGTAGGGAACGTGGGTTTGGACCAAGGAGGAAAGATAAAATAGTAAAGAAAACTCAAAGAAAGCCAAAGGAATGGGATACAGAATAAGACAGACAAACATTTAAGAAAAAAAAATAGGGTAGGGGAGAATTCATTTAGCAAGTAAAATATAAAAAGGGAAAAAATATCCAAAAATGGGAAATTACGTATGTTTTTGGACCTTCCCTTTATTTTCATTGTTCCTTCAAATCAGCCTGGTTATTCCAGCCAATATGTAGTGGCTGAGGAAACATTTGGTTGATAAAGAGTGGGATAAACATCACCGTTTTGAGATTATGTTATACTACTAACACTGCTCTGCAGTGTAGCATAGACATACTTGACCTAGCTTTAAAGTAGCTAGGTCAGGTCCCACTCACAATCTGGCCAAGGCAGCACAGAGCTTGGCACAAGCTATGAAGACAGATTATGCAGCAGAGCAAGAACTCAGGCACTTAAACCATACTGAGCCTTACACTGCTGACACCACACTGCTAACAGTAGCCTGAAGTGACTCAATCTAACTTCAAAGACAACTACCCTGCAGTTGCAGTAGTTCAGATACCATCCTGAATAACCAGCAGTCATCAGGAAGCCTCACTTGGAATGACATAAATATCCCGATTGCAAAGAAACTCCCAGGCATTTATCTGCTGCACTTACACACGCATAGAAAACTTAATCACAGTTCACAAGAACAAACAGATATAACCTGGCATGAAAAAATTCAAATCAGAAATTAAATGACAGTTCTTAAACATTAGAAATGGGATGTTCCTGGAAAGCTTTTCAAGAGCAATAGTAGTTATAAAAAAAAAACACCAAATTGTTGGTAAGATGTTTTTGAAAGAGATTACGTAACATAATACAGGCAATAACAGGGAAATAGACTTTTATTAGCAAGTTCTTCTCTATCCCATACTCCTAACTTAAATTTTTTCTCTTTTGAGTAAGCTTCACTCTTGCCTAGGGGAGCCTTTGAAGTAGAAGAGCACCACTAGCATCCCATCTCAAGGAATGCATATTATTATTCACGATTTTCCTCCATAATTCCAAAATAAAGGGTTTTATTATCCATCTCCTACCTGTCTTCGTAAGCTTGAGGACTGCACTGGTGCATTCTCCTCAAACTTGGCCAGTAGCTGGGTTGCCATAGACTTGACTTTGTTCTGATTCCCGATGGCAGCATCAATTCTCCTCTCTGTCAGGGCGCTCACCAGTGTGGGCCTTTCTTCTCTGTAGCTTCGCGGGATGTCCTCCTAACAATCAGCGATATCAAAATTTAACAAGATGCAACCAGATCACCTTTTCCTCTCTACCCTTTTGCTGTGAGAGGTTTCTAATGCTGTAGAAAACGAATCTATTAGTCTGCACTTGAAAGCTCACATTTTAATTTCCTTTGGCATGTCACCAAAAGTTCTGTTAAACTTTACTTATCTTTTCAACCTTATTTGATACACTTACCTACCAAAGAGACCACAGTTGAAACACTCCCATGAATCCACTGACACAAAGCAAAGGCCTATCTTCAAACCTTCATTGACAACTCAAAGCACTAAATTTTAACTCACTTGTACTTATTTGGCTATAAACACATTTCAAGTGAAGGACTGCCTCATGTGGCATGCTAGAAATGTAAGCTTTCCACACTAACCAAGGCTAAAGTTTAAATATGAATGAAAATTCTGACTATACTGCATGACTTTACTAAATGAAAGTTTTATTCTTGGTGTCTGTGCTGGTTTTGGCTGGCATAGAGTTAGTTTTCTTCATAGCAGCTAGCATGGGGCTATGTTTTGGATTTGTGCTGGAAACAGTGTTGATAATACAGGGAAGTTTTAGTTACTGCTGAGCAGTGCTGACACAGAGTCAAGGCCTTTTCTGCCTCTCACGCCACCCCACCAGCGAGTAGGCTGGGGGTGCACAAGAAGCTGGGAGGGGACACG